GGGACCTTATGGGATGATGGGGACCTCTTGGGATGATGGGGACCTCCTGGGATGATGGGGACCTCATGGGATGATGGGGACCCCCAGGACGGTGGGAAACCCCTGAGATGATGGGGACCACCCTGGGATGACAGGGACCTCCTGGGACAATGGGGACCTCATGGGACGATGGGGACCTCCTGGGGTGATGGGGACCTCCTGGGGTGATGGGGACCCCCAGGACGGTGGGGACCCCCTGGGATGATGGGGACCTGGGACAATGGGGACCTCATTGGGATGATGGGGACTTGGGATGATGGGGACCCCATGGGATGATGGGGACCCCCTGGGTCTCATCCCCCTCTTCCTCGCCCCTCAGGCCAAGGCGAGGCACAACATCACGCTCATGTGGGACAGGGAGGTCATGGACGTGCTGGCCGACGGCTACAACCTGCACTATGGCGCCCGCTCCATCAAACACGAGGTAAACCCCATTTTTGGGGGGGAAAAAACCAGCTTCCTCAAAAGGGTCATCAAGCACTGGATGGGGTCCCCATCCCTGGGGGTGTCCCAAAGCGGTGGCGCTGAGGGACATTGAGTGGTGGCAGCGTTGGGTTGGACTCCATCATCCCGGTGGTCTTCTCCAACCTAAACCACTCCGTGATTTGAGGAAACCAGTACAACCAGTACAAACCAGTATAACCAGGAGCTGCCCAAACCCACGGGACATTGGTTTTTTTGATGAAATAATGGGGGTTTTTGGGGGTCGTTTTCAGGTGGAGCGACGCGTGGTGAACCAACTGGCGGCCGCCTACGTTTTGTTTTGTTTTTTCCCCCTACTCCTAAGAAGCACCGTGATGTGGCGGGAAGAGAGACCGCCAAACCCCCCCCCCCCCCCCCCGCCCCCGGCACCCAGAAACCCAAAACGCCCACCCTGCGGCTGGAGATCGTGGACAAAGACAGCAAATCCCGAAAACTGGACATCCGAGCGCCTCTGCACCCCGAAAACATCACCTACTTCCTATAGGAGAGCGCGAGGAAACACCCCCCCCTCCCCCCCAAAAAAAACCACCCCAAAATCTGCAAAGTTGGGGTCCTGGGGCAGTTTTTGGGTGGGCACCGAGAGGGCTACGGGTGCTGGGGGTTCGCTTGGGGAAG